ATTACATACTTATGTTGGACCTGGTTTCCCAACTCTTTCCTGTTTCAAAGAAATGATGTCAAAGTTCTAGATTACATACTTATGTTGGACCTGCTAGACCTGGTTTCCCAACTCTCATTACAAACTTATGTTGGACCTGGTTTCCCAACTCTTTTTCCTGTTTCAAAGAAATGATGTCAAAGTTATAGAATACATACTTATGTTGGACCTGCTGGACCTTGTTTCCCAACTCTATTTCCTGTTTCAAAGAAATGATGTCATTGTTTCTAGTGTTGTGGCCAAATTGGAAAGTATTCAGGTCATGCTAACTTTAAATCAGATAATTGATAGTCCACATGTGGATGGGTTGGACGTTCAAGCAGATATGTATAATGGGTAAAAACCATACAGCTCTCATTGCCTATGATGCTGACAAAAATGACATTATCTGAACACTTTTAGAAGTGATTGACAGAAGATGTTGTTACCTGGTTGGACAGTTTGAAGCTTCAGCCATACTTGATCCCAGAAATTGGCCAGATGATACGGAATCTTTGGTACTGTGTGGAAAAAATGAGATTAGATTCCACTTGAGACACTTCCAATCACTTCTGTATTCTGTGTGTCTTCAAATGATAATCTCAAAAACATGCATCCAGATTCACTGTGGGTGAAGATATACAATCAGTATGAAGACAGGGTTGACTTTCACTCATATTCTGAAGCTTATTCATTTTGTTGAAGTGTACTCTCTATCTACAGCAAGTTGTGAATGTGGATTCTAAAATGGATTAAAGGTGTCGATTGAGCATGGAAATTCTGGATAAATTAATGAGGATCAAATTTTCACTCCAGAGAATCTTCAGGGCTTTGATGTCAAGTATATGGTCAAGAGATGGTGGTTGACTGGAGGTTCTGCAGGTACAGTGAGGAGTCCAGACACAATTCCATATGGCCAGAGAGTGTAATGAAATCAGTTACAAACACAAACTTGCTACCTGGTAAGCTGTTTTGCTACCAGATGTCAAACATTTATTGCTTTAATTTTGTTTTTGAATTCTATCTCTGCTGTTGCAGTCATTCAACAGTTTTCTAAACACATTCTTAACTGAGACAAACAGTGTAATATCAAACCAACTTTTCATGATTATACAAGCAACAAAAAGTACTAAGATAACTGTACAGACTGTCACTAGATGTTAGCTTAGATTCATGTCACATATTTGCATGAGTTGTCAATTTCTGTCAAAATCATTAAAATGTGTGGTATTCAGGTTCACTGATGTCCAGCAAGAATGTGAAAAGTATTTGCAGTAATGCAGGATCAGGATCGTTAAGCAGAGATTAAATCAAACTTAGACATCAAAGGAAAGAAATGCAAGTGAACAAATATACAGTCTATTCATAGCAATGTGTTGTGAAGTTTATCTCACTTACTTGCCTGTCTCTAATTCTTCATCCTTTCGTTGATTTTTGAGGTTGAGAAAGGTGTCTTTCTTTAAAACATCTATTAGGACAAAGTAGATTGTAATTTACCACTGAAATCCTGACCCAAGCTTAAAACTGCAGTGTACACAGCGTGGTCATAAGTAAACAGACACCACCTTTTCAGAAAAAATGAAATTTT